CCTGCTGAGGCAGTAATGAGGAGGAGTATCATTTGAGCTTGAGAATGTGGGTACAAGTGATCTGCATTGTCTAAGTCTCGCCTAAGCATTCCTTGTTTGAAATTTTAAGTAAAGACATCAGTGAGTTCCTCTGCATAAGGGTAAATTTAGCTCCAAGAGCAGTGCAAAACAGACTTGTTGATTGGTGTGGGAGTGATTGCTGTGATTCCTGAGCTATGAAGGTGCTGTCATTTCTGCAAAGCATCTGTTCAGGGGGAAGCAAGACAAGGAGCAGGCTTTGAAAAGGTGGATCATGGGTCTGTGGATATGCCCAAAACCTCATATGGGGCTGTATCCTGTTACGAATCACAACTTCACTTTTTTGTTGTAAATTATTGTTCTTTAATAACATCCTCAGGTATAATTTTGTGACTGTTTTGTGTGAAGAGTTCAAAACTGGGCTGATAAAATCAGTGTAAAAACTTCTTACTATTTAAATCCTGCCTCAGCTATTTTCGTAGCTTGATCGGAACACTTCATGCTTTAAAAATGCTTCAACATCTGCAAAAAATAACAGTCTCTTATGGGGGTGTTCTCCAGGTCACTCTTCAAGTGTGTGGGTCATTGCCATTTCCATGTGATTTGAAAATCATAAAATCACCCCTAAAAGGCTGTGTTTTCTAAAGGAACAGCAACATTGCACCTGCAGAAATACATATGCACTTGCTGGGCTAAATTCTTGTGTTCTGTCTGCTGGTAATGAAATGGAGGAGATGCTGGGAAGTCTCATCTTTAGCATCAGTCATCCAGACTGAGTACCCTGCGGGACTGGGATAATGAGGTGCTGAAACAGAGTGGAAGTGGAGGCATCCAGTCCCTCCTCAGCTCTCTCTGGCAGTGAGCATGTGTGCTCCTGTCAACATTTGATGGTGACCAGCATGGAGGGGGCAAGCATGGTTGCTCTTGCTCCACAGGCATCTATTCATTATCTGTTCCAGTGAATTCCTGCCACTGCTGGAAAAGAGATGTAGCTATCATCATTTCTGCTTGCCTTGCAAAAAGGCAGGCTTTGATTTCACCCTTCATGTCTCACTGAAATCTAGATAAACAATCTGAAGTTGGCTTAAAAGTTGAGCAGAATGTTGTGATCTACAGCTGTGATTGTGTCTTTCCCATTTCGATTGGGATACCTGTATAAGAACTGCATGCACAGGGTCATGTCAGAATATCACGTGTGGGTAATACTGTGACAGTCATTCCTAAACAGTGGGCCAGAAATCCCCCTCAACTGTTTTAACAAGTAATTTTTTGACAATCAGGCGAGCCCCCATGCATGCAAGTTGCTGTAATTCGCGGTACAGATTAGCACATGGAGCTCAGTGCAAGTATGTACTGTATGTGGCTGCTATGGTGATTAAAATACATAAATAAAATAGATAAATATGGACCATATTAGAAATTCATTACTGGCACTCTCTCAGAGCGCAGTCAGCTCCAGCGTGTGGTGTCAGTCATGTTCTCTTGCTCTGAGCGAGCCCTCCTGGCCCCAGAGTGTGAGCTCCTGGAGGGGCTGGACTTGTTCTACCTTGTCAACTAGCAAATTTCAACGCAAAAACGGTAAACAAAGGGCTTTTGTGCATGTTTTATAGCTCAGTGAGGATTAGTGGCACAACATGTTTTCAGACGGGACAAGCTTAGTGTTAACATGCCTGAGGTTAACGAGCGAGGACATGGGGCAATCCGTAGAGGCAGGAGCAGAAAGTCTCTCTCCAGTGTTGGACGCGGTACAGAGAATGGATAAAAGTGGTTCTGCTTACCTGGGTCAGTGCGTCGGTCACGTGTTCCCCGATGTTCCAGCTGCTTTAGGATGTGGATCGTGCCGACCTCAGGAGCTTGCTTGCAGCCCTTCCCACAGCTTCAGAGGTCCCCTCCGCCATGGGGGACATCCTAGCCTGTACATTGGCTCTGGCTGAATCAGGTTCCTGCTTTTCTTCCCCCTCTCACCTTCTAGCATTCTCCGACCGTAAAATCCATCCCTTTCCTGAAATGCAGAATGATGCACTTGTCCGGTGAAGTTTTTCTGGGCAGGATTCAAATTCCAAGAAAGCCTTTCATTTCCTTCATGCCGGGGGGAGAGCAAAGGTAGAGAGGCGAAGGAAAGCGCTTGCTTCCTTTAAATCCCCACCAGCGTCTTCCCAGCGCTGGAAGCAAAGTAGCTTGTCATGGTGATCTTCAGAGACTAACTTTAGGGGGGAGGGAGAAAGTGGAAAGCAAACTGAATGCTGTAGTGGAGATTTCTCTCTTCCCCCACTGGGCCCCTTGCCGACTGTTTTTATTGATTTCAATCACTGGAGGCTAGCTGGCTCTCAGAAGAAACACTGTGTAATGTGTTCTTTCCTGGCTTTCATTAAAGAAACTCAATGCAGTGCGGTCACGCTGCCGAGCTCGCCTGGCAACCTGCCTACACCCTGTGGTACCTCTTTCATTGGAGGAGATCGAGCTCGTGGTTTGGGGTTGTTTTATTTTTTATTTATTTATTTTTTATGTAATTCTCCAGCAAGGATTTCAAAACAGCCTACGCTCTGCTCCTGCCTCCTCTCGCAGCCCAAAGCCTGTTTCAGCTTCAGAAGAAATCAGCAGCACCCCTAAAGGAGATGACTTCGGTGGCGATGAAAACACCAAGTGCTGCGACAGCCTCATGCTCCTTCTATTAAAATTCCTCTGTGTGTGTTTCTGGGGACGGGTTAAAAAGGCTGTGTGTGAGCCACAGGGATGTGGATACCAACGATTTCCAAGGGGGTTCCTTTTTTTAATTCCATCTTCTCCCGATTGGTGAACATGGTTTAATTAATGGGAAGAGAGTAAGCAAAAATCCTTCAAAAAAATATGTGAGAATTCTTGGCAGGGCTGTAGTTGCAAACGAAGCAAAACTGCATTCCCCGAGCCTGCAGTCGTGGTGGTGTCTTAAATATTTCTGTTGTGTTCAGGACTGTGATACTCATGGAGAAAAATGAGAAATAAAATATGATACTAATTTATGCCTTAGATCTTAATCTACTACGGTACGTGTTTTATAGGAGCAAGCAATCTATAAAGTGGAATTCAAGAGGCTAGGTTCTGTAAATCGTGTTGTTCTGTGTGCTTATAAAGGCTTTCACTTAATTTAGTAAATTGTTCAATTTGTTCTTACGCAGCAGTTTCTAACGATAACACTTTATGTGCTCTTCAGAATTGGCCGTAAACCTGTGAAACATGTAAAGATCACATAGTTGCGAATTAAGCCAGGTTTCAAGCTAACAAAGGTGCACATATCCTTAATTACAGCTGCAGATTTCGGATGGTACCTGGTCACTTTTGCTTGTGGGGTACCATGGCTGTGTCCACAAGGATGCTTAAAAACCCCCAGCATTTACGCAACCACAAAAGAACCCTTTCCCGGATCAGAAAGATAAAAAGCCTGTTGTTATTTAAACTGGCTTCCTGCAGAACTTGTTTGAGGCTTTTCTGCCCAGGTTGCACCTACAGAAACCTTTCCAAATCAATGTAATGTAAGTAATTCCCAGTGGTTTTATTGTAAGGAGTTGAGATTCTAAACCCACCTAACTTTTATGGAAAAAAACCCAAACCTGTTTTTCTTTGAGCAATGTATAATTTTTCCAAAATCTTCTTCTGTGAGTGCTACAGACTTGAGGAGGTTCTTCTACGAATATTGCTTTTCATTCAAAATGTGCTTTTGGCATGCTAATGAAATTTCATCTGCCCTCTTTGGTCATACTTCTTCTTTTCATAAGGTGCTAAATGATAGAAAATAGTTATTTAAAGTCAATATGACCGTGAACTATTTTATGCAAATCCTGTAGCTGTAGTCATAGCACAGTTCTTTGGCAAGCCTCAGATAGTAAATCATTTGTCAATCTCTCTTTTATGAACCTTGCATCTAAGGGTTTGCCAGCTTTTCTTCTTTGTAGGTTTTGAACAGTGTTTATAGATTCCGCTTTTTGTTTTTAAGCTGGCAGATGGCCAGTTATTTATCTGGGATCAAATGTATTGTGTAAGACAGAAACAGGGCGTTTTGCATGCAGATAGCATGCATGGGGCATTTTTGGGGCAAAAGGCTACTTGTGAGCAGAAGCCATTACGCGATGGGTCGGTAGCTCCACATCAGCTCTTGGTCAGTGAACAAAGCCCCTTTTGACATTTCTCTGTATTAAAGGTTATGAAATAACATGAACTTAATGAACAAACAGGGTAATACAGTGTTCCTACTATGAAATAATCCCTATCATCCATTTCCACATCTTTCTTCTTGGAGTTCAAAAATTTGATGCTCTTTTTATACATTTGTCATTGTAAGTCAAATTATAATTTATTCTTCTGAATTTCTAATGTTGCCTGCTTTGCTGTTGTACAGACTTGTGTTGCTGTGCTGGTAGAAAAGAATACAAGTCTATTGGCTTTTGGAGGAGCTGGATTCACTGGTACTAATAAGTAGTAAATTTGGTGTTGTGGCTTGGTTTGTGGTTACTGCTGTAGGCTTGGCAGCGAAGCTGAGCCCCTGAGCAGGCAGAAAGCTCAGACAGACCTACACAGACGAATCCCAAAGGCAAATTTGTAATAAATGAGTATTCAGTTCATTGTGGGATTTCTTCAGAGTTTCTGAATCTGTCAAGCTTATTCTTTGCTGGCAGCAGGCAACTGGGGATGCACATGTAGGAGTCTTTGAAACAGTGACGGGCAAGGAGGAGGAACAGAAGTCTTTAGAAGATGTCTTCCAATTCTACTCAAATATGCAGTCAAGGACCTTTGGGTAACTATGAATCTGGAAACAAATTAAAAAATGCACTTATTGCTCTGCTGAAACATAATACAATTAGTGTGCTGCTAATGCCATCTTGGTACTGGTTACCCAGCTATTATGGTTCATAGTTCTCTGGCACTAAAAGCTTTTATGCAGATGTAGTCTCTGAAAAACTTCATCTGTTTGGTTTTGACACTCTTTCTTTTGCAGAAAAAGGGGTCAGATAGCTGCAAGAAATCCTGTCTTGGGTACATCTTTCTGCCAGTTTCTCTTGCAGATATAGTTATTTTTCTCTGTTCTGAATTGCTTAGCAGCACTGCTTTACACTATTAAATGCTTCAGTCTGCGATGGCTCCCCTTTTATTATGGGTCAGCTCATTTCTCAAGATCACCTACAAAATGTTTTAGATTTGTGCAGTATTTCCAGATTACAAAGAAGAATGGAAAGCTTTAACTGCTGTCTAAAACTGCCACAGCTGAAGCCTCCAGGTATTTTTAGTTAATGTCTTAGGCTATTTACAGTTTACACACAATTCAGAAATTTAGAGACTGTCATTGATGAAGGGCACTGTATGGGGCAGTCACAGCTCTCTGCATGCGGATGGACATGGTATAGTATGGACTTTGGGATGTCTCAGCTGACATCCCCAATACCCTTGCAAAGATGACATGGGTTTTTATAAGCATAAGTGTTAAATATTCAGGGGTCTGTCTTTTACTCACAGTATGGTATCCAGTGGCAATACCCCTTTTAGCACCTTTTCAGGGCTTCTGGAAAGTTTCCAAGTGGAAGACTCCCACCTCCTTAATCACCAGAGAACACTGGCTCTCCTCTGAATGTCATTCATTCAAGTGTTCTGACCTAGCCTGACCTTGTTTAGATTGAGATCTAATGAGCCCACGATCCAAGGTGGTGTGGTAGCTCTCAGCAGGTTTTGCAAATAAGCAAGTGTTGTGTTTTTCTGGATGCACGTGGTTTAAATTTATCACATCAATAAACAAGTGTCTCACACGCTCAAATATGGGCTTTACAATGTTGTAGTTAAGACTAAATTGTGGCACTACAAATTGTGATGTCTCTTTATAGAAGGAGACAACGTGGAATATTTATGACCTCAAAACAATGAAGTGCTGTTGGTTGAGGGGTTTTATTTAAATGACATAATACTTAAACTCTTAATCCAAATGACTCGCAAACTTTGGGCATATCTTTCAGAAAGAACAGTCACACTAATGGTTCAGGGAAAGCAAACCTGAAAAATAAGGCTGTTGATTTAAAGAAAAGAGAGATGCATCAGCAGAGTATGGTAACAGAGATCATCCAAGCTAAATAAGTACAACTAGGCTTTAAATTCCAGTGAAAGGTTTGGTTTTGTTTTCTTTTGAGTCCCAGGTTTTGGGGAAGGTTGGTTTTGGTTGTGTTTGTTTTTCTGTATGAATTGTTATAAAACTACCGTCAGCTTCAGTGGAGAATGTACCACCAAATGTAGGTGGTTTATGAAGTGCATAAGAATTGAGGTTTTCAAATAAAAAAACCAGTCAAGGACAGACTGTGGTATGTACCACTAGATTAATCAAGTTGACATGGATGGATAGAAGTGTAGTCGCAACTAGAAAAGCTATTTGAGCTCTAAGGTTGCAAGTGCTTTCACAGTGTGTGTGCTGGGAGTCCCAAACAGAAGCCTGATGAATCCGATTTTCCTTGGATGATGCTGTGGGCTAGCAGAAGGTACCTCCAGCTGTAAATCCTGACTCTTTCATGCCCGGGACAGCACCAGCCCCACAGGGAGAGCAATTCTCTTGTTTCAGACAGCCCACGGTGCATCCACTGCGATGCTGGAAACAAACGTTGTTAGGGCTCGGTATTTATGTTGGGACCTACAGGGAGGGAGCAACTTGTTTTGTTTTTAATGGAGCGGTCGGCGAGAGGGATAAAAAGCTTTTTGATAGTGCCAGGAATGTGAGGGGGAAGGGAAGGTACAGAGATACACATTTACTGTAAGTATGAAGAAGCAGAGGCCTCTTTATCAGGCCAGCTCTAATGATGTGCCACAGTCACTTTATTTGAAAGCTTCGTAGCTCGCAGAAAAGTAAACAAATTCATTACATGATTTTTAAAGGAAGATTAACCATAGTGTGTCGTCTGTTGGACAGCTGCTGCAGTCATCTTTTACAAACACTTTATAAATGACCACCCTCAGTGTTTTGCTGGGCTTTGTGCGGCTGGATTGTTATTTCAGTAAGTACCAGGGTGGCTTTTCAACTGAAAACGTTGTTTCCTGTATAACAATTACGTACCTACCTTCACCCTAAATATTATTCTATTCTCAGCATGAGTTAGAAAATGTCTTCTATGTAAATGCAGCATATGTTGCTTTTTCACATGTGTTTGCACAGGAATGCTGGCTTTGCCATAAAAGTAGCTTGAAAGTATTTTAAACAAAAAAAACCCCAAACCAACCTAAATTCTCTTTATTGTCCCACTCCCAGTTATTCTGATTTCTGCTTTATTGCCCTTGGTCGATCTTTGAAACCAGAAAAGTTGAAAAGATGAGTCAGAGTCAAGCTATGCAATACATGAATTGACACTGAACAAATACTGGTCCTCAGCAGGTGTCTTTGTGTTCAGGTATTGCCTTGTTTAACTATCCTCTGCTTGAACGTCAGCAAGAATACTGTTAAGAGCAACATGTCAGGTTTTTCATTTGGAAGCTCTCAACTAACTCAAATTAATACAACATTAAAGATTTTTTAATTTATAAAGTGGTTTTAAGTAATCTTTCCATAAAGCAGTTGATCTTGTGCATTCAGGTTTCAGTTATGTATTCCTCAAACAGGTGAGAAGGGAGCAGGGAGAGGAGGAAGAACCTTTCTTTCCTACTCAGTTTGGCCTCCATGGGTTTCCAGCGCTCTAGCAGAGGTTCTCACCTGGCAAGTATGACACTGTAGTAAAGTTGCTGGGTCTGAACCAAGTCCATTCTGTGAACATAATTAGTGTTCTTAGAAGTGGTGGTTGAATTCCTTTATCTTCCCCAGTCTTGAGATGTGAGATGCAAACACAGCTGCTGTAGGCCTGGGTAACTCCTCTGGGCTGCCCCACTTGTCTCTGTATACTCCACCTTCGTCAGTTTATAGCTGAAGTGTCCAAGGGACATGCACATTTGGCAGAAACACCAGAAAATGTACTGTATTTATTTTGAGAGAAGAATTATGGGTTTAAATAACAAGTGCTCACATGCAATCTCCCATTTTTCTGTCCTTGTCAGATAGGAGTCTGCTTCAAACTCTATTTGTGTACAGATAAGGTAGACATTTCCTGGGCCACCTTACACCCATGCCACTTCCACTGCTGTCAGTGGGTAGTTTTCCATTACCCAGAGATTCCATCTTTTATAAATATAACATGGCCTTGCAGGAAGCTGTCCCTTGCTCAGGTTGTCTTATTGAACCTGGTACAACTGTTGCTGAGCACGTGGATTAATTAACGAAGTCATTCACAAGTCATTAATGTCCTTGTGCATACCTTTAGCCTGCATTTTATGGCACTGCCTGACCATGGAGGTGGCTGAGAAGCAGCAGTTCCTTAAAACGTGATGAAGGGATCAAAGAAGACTTTGGACTTTGGGACTCTCAGATCTGTAGCTATCATATAAGCTAAGAACAACCACCACCAATCTTGGGCTTAGTGTAAGAGTCTTGTTTGCAGAATTCCATTCTTCTTTGGTTGCTCAGTTGCTACTGGGAGGTTGCACAGAAGAGGTGGCTTCATAGTGTCCAAATCCCTCCTGCTTCCCGAGGTACATAGGGGTTTGCACAACAAATTTTAGATATGTTTAATATATAGCTAGAAGGTACTCAGGTTACTGTACTGCTGAGAACAGTACAGTCATCTGGAGAGGGCAGTTCTATAGGTTCCTTAAAGTGTAATATTTACAGTGCTGTGAATTGAGCAGAGTAGAGACGTGATGCAAGTATAGTGAACAGTAAAATTACAAAGCTTGAAGCTTCTGGTTTTAAGTATTACCGGTATCCTTCTATTGCATATGCAAAATACGCATAATTGCTTTTATGCATATTTTGTTTGCTTTTTTATAGAAATATTAATACTTGATCTAAATATTATTTCAGGCAACAGAAGAAAAGGAAGAACTTACTGCAGAAGAAAGGAGGAAACTGGAAAGAAAACTAAAAAAAGAGCGCAAGAAGAAGGAAAAGCAGCTGATGAGGGAAGCTGGAATCTCTACTAAAAAGGTGGAGCCCAAAAAGCAGTCAGGATCTGAGCTGGCTTTGGCCTATTTAACCAGGTAGGACTAGCAAAACCACTGCAGGTGTTCCCAACAGGAGTAAGCTGTAAACTGTGCCAGAAATGCAGAACGAGCTGGACCAAGTAATAACACATTAAAGGAAATTGCTGCAGTTAAGTATTAAGTTAATGTTTCATCTCAGTTGACACCCAAGCATACAATTGATCGCCCCTTTGTGTTTATATCACAGTAACAACTGTGAGATGTTAAGCATGGTGCAAACATTTTATAGAGAAAGACAGCTCCTGTCTTCCTGATCTCGTAGTTGATATATAAATACCACTGGGTTAGCTGCACTTACAAAGATGAAAGGCACGTTGCAGAAAAGATTGCATTGAGGAAATGAGTTCTGTTTCTGGAGTGCACTGTTCTAAGCAAAGGAGTTCCAGTTGTTCTCTTTATATAAGCAAATTGCATGAAGTGGTTGAGCATTACAGTCTGAATTTACCTGCCTGCATCATGTTCGGATATTTGCAAATTAAAATGGGATTATGCTACTATTTTAAAGTTAACAATGTACAATGCCTTATTTTTGCATACCAAAGTGTAGTGGCTGATTTCAGATCAGAAGCAATTACTTCATCTAGTTAGTGCACTTATTTAGAATACTCAATATTCCAACATAAAGCAAAGCCTATGGTTAAACTGAAGAACTACAGCAGAGCATTCTTAGTACCCTACAGATAGTAAGAGGTCATGTATAAACAGTACAACAGTGCTTATTTTTTCCCAAACTGCAAAATATGCCCTGTCTTTAAGACCTCCTGAAGGCTGGCTTGTTACAAATAGTGGGTTACCACGTGGAATGATTCCAGGGTCGCATCTCTGGCCATGCTCAAAACTGAAGCATCCAGACTGTCTGAATTGTTACTTACCACTCTCAGTGGGGAGGGAGGAAATTAATTGCATTCCAAGCAGAGGGACACGTGCATTTTTGTTGCATAACCCACAGCAACCAGTGATAGCAAAATGACAATAATATTTTTGATCTGGAAAACAGCTGGAGTGGTTCACCACTGGTTTGAACTGCAAACGGATTGACAGTTGGCTTTGAACCATCTGCTCAGACTATGCTCTGATATGTGTGCTAGTAACTGGCAGATCTCTAGATTACAGATTTCAGGTTTGGAAAGCAAAGGAACAAGCTGTGGGGTTTTGCTTGATACTCCACTGTTATCTGTATGGACTTTTCACCTTGTTAGGTGAGAGTATATGAAACTGTAATTGAACTAATATTTGAACCAATTTAACTCCAGAGTTTCACTTAACCTGTACCAAATGACCTTGAAATAGTAAACCTGCTATGTCATTTGGATTTGTAATACACAGTTCAAGGACTCTATGTACAGCAGTAGGTTGTGAGGGATTGTTTCAGCAACAGACAATTTGAATTTTGTAGACCTAACAGGGCAGTCATAAGATGCTGAACTGTCAAGGAAACATAACCATAGACTCTGTTCTAGCCCAAAATGTGCTGAGACCATCTTGCACCATTGTAAATTACAGAAAAACAGCTTAATCCTTTTACCTCAGATGTTTTTTCAAGTCAGCAAGACTGCGAAAATAAACAACTGGATTTAAAGTAATCAGAGAAGTAATGTATTAGCAGGGGATGAGAAACTAAAATCCAGGCTCTGGAAGTCCGTTGCAAAACCCCCAGCAACTTTAGTGGGTCAAGGATTTCAGTCTACGTGTTTTCTGTAGGGCTACGGGCATGAATAATATGTGGGAGGATAAGTTAATCTTATAGATGAAGAGATGAATATAAGTGGAAGTAAACAAAAGGGTGCTGTGGATTTATGTATTGCCCCACCTACAATAAAAATCCTTACATGACATAAGGGTTGCTAAGTGAAGTGGCATCTTCATTCCCTGATGACATGTGAATCTCCAGTAGGACAGGTGGAACTTGAAGGACCATATGATGACTGACAATGTCCTTTTTATTTATCAAGAGACTACTTGCTGTATGAGGGTACAAGCATATGAGGTGTTAACCTATGACAGGAAAAGATTGGATCTGTTTTAGTGAAATTTGCTTGAGTAACTTTAAAAGAAAAATGTTAGAAAGCATTCAGTGAAAGATTTTTTTGTTACACATTTAGGTTTTTGACTTTTGCAAGGGAAAATGAAACTTATTTTGTAGGCCATACATGTATTTAGAAGTAGTAGTTCCCTCAGAATGAAGAATCATCTTTTCTGGTATGTGGAATTTTTCACCAGGAGAATAAATTTCTGTTTCAAGCAGTAAGGTCAGGTAGAATTAGAAAGATTTTAATTGGAGGAAATAAAACATAGCTAATAAAAGGGTGTGTGCGTGTGTGTCCTGTGCTTAGAAGGCCCTGCTTCTGTAATAGCTTTTAATGTGCCATTTAAAATATGAAGTGGGAGTAGCAGGCAGCCCACAGGCAGCACTTCTCTCTTCACTGAGACACAAGGTGACTGTCAGAAAGATGTGCCTCATCTTTTAAGTTGAGAGGAGTTAATGAAGAGAGCATTAATGAGAGGGAGTAAGGCATGCAACGTGTGGGGGGCAGGACCGCTAATTGCGTGCTGCCCTTCCTGATGGCTTTAGGACCAGCACTGCAGCAACAGGTCTGGATTCAAGTGGTGCTTCTCAAGAAAAGCAATGCTAGACCAAAGCAGATGGCTGTCTGTGGTGGCACTGTGATGTATTCCCCTGTTGGGGGTCTTTGTAAACCTCCCTGCCGCTGGGCACAGCGTGCTACAAGCTGGCCAGTTCTTCCAGTTTTCCAGGTTTGTTATTTGAGTCTAAAAACAAATAATCCTTCATGATTTGCTGGCCTCCAGAGAGGTCAAATTATCATTTTATTGGAGGCCCATCCTAGCAAGTGAAAGAGGCTTTTTTCCCCTATTTACATGAGATGGCTACGTGCAACAGCAGCTGATGCCACCAGCAAACTGCAGCCCCCAGCCAGATCTGAGGGTGCTGGAGGGTCTCCCCACTGAGCTGAGTGACACTGATAGACTAGGCTTTTCAGCTGCTTTCTCATTTGAATGAGACCAGGACGAACACGAACCAAGTTTTGCACTCCTGATAGAGGAGAAGCAACCAAATGGCTCCTATTGTTTTCCCCTCTTGCTTTCTATTGACATGTGGGAAAAGGAAAAGAGGAGGAAAAAAATGTCTTTGCTTCACCAATTTTTATCTCCCCTTTTCCCTTGATGAGATAAGCTCAGGCAGTTTCCCAATACAGTTCTGTCTAACACAGCAATTGTGGCATGCCTGTGGAAATAGAAGAGTCTACTATAGTCAGATTCTCCAGCTGGCTGTGGAGCAGAAAGATCTGAAGATATGCAGAGGATTAAAAATAGGGAGCTGAAGTGAAACAAAAAGGTTATAAAACCATAAGAAGGAAAAAAGAACATGTGGAATAATGAAAAAATTCAGAGTGGTGTTGAACAGAAGAAGGAAAACCTTTAATATTACTTCAGAGGAATAGGGAAAAGCAGGACTGAGAAAGTATGAGGGGTTGAATAAACTGCACAAGTCTCTTCCTTTTAATGATGACATGCCTTTTTTCTTTGTGATGATAAGTGATGATTCAGCTTTAAAGCCGAGATTAGAATGTCTCATTACTGTGATTCTGGAAAATACAAAATAAAAATTCATCTTTTTCTGAGCATTAAGTGCCTTCAAGTGAAAAGATGTTGCAATTCATGAAAATGGTAATTAGACTTAATTATAACCTAACTGACCTTCTGTGGTGTTAAAATGTTGGCAGAACTTGTTTGTCTTGGCAAGCCTCTCTCTCCTGGAATGCTTCTGTTCTTGTGTTTGGCTTAGAAAGTTCATTGCTATATGGATCTGCACATATGGTTTTCTCCATCACCCATCAAAGGGATAGACAGAGATCTGAAAAGATGTCACTGAAAGTATGTGGAATTACAAGATTGATATCAACCGAGGTAGAAGTAATAGATAATATCGTTATCTGGATATTGCTGTGAATTACCTAAGCCTTGCAGTTTTATTTATCATGTGCTTAAACTTTAAAAATAAGCTGCTGGAGTATGTTTCTTTACTCGCTGTAATGGTTTATATTACACTAGTAATATATGTCACCAGAATGTTTCCCATGGCATTGTCTTTTCAGTTTTCTTTATAGATCTTACTTTCCTCATCCCTAATTTAAATGTAGGTGAGATGCAGAGAATGTCAGAGATATTTTTAAAGATGCTTATAAGAATAATACAAAGCAAGGGCATGTTGCAGAAACACAAAAGTGGAGACAGTCAGAATTTCCCATCGAGAGAGGAAACAGTCTGACTCTGCAGAACACAAGGTGGTTTTTGCTGAGTGCAGTGGCAGTGCTGCTGAAAGCAGTGTACAACCCAGGGCAGTTGTTTGTCTGCTGTGTTTGCAGAATGGAAACAGATCCCAGTCCTCCATCAAACTTCATAACAAACAATGCCAAGCATGGGAGATTTTAAAGCTGAAACACTGTTCTTCCTTTCAGAGAATACAGAAATCTGAGAGTTGCTGCTATAAGCATTTATTTTGATATTTTTAGTGCTATTTCTCTTCTCTGTGTATATACAGTATAGATTAAAATAGCATGTTTAAAGTCTATCAGGTTTTTACTCCTGCTGGCCATGTGGAGAAGGGCATTAATAACCGGTGGCTTAGTGTTCACTCAGTGTTTGCATCTAAGAAGTTTCTAATTTTTGAAGGAACCAGGAGAGGCTTGTGCTGGGCAGTAAACAGGGCAGCAGCATTTGAGATGTGTGGCCAAACAGCTGAGATGACTGTCACCATTCAGGAAATCACTGACGGTTCATCCTACCACATTTAGGGCCAGGTGACTCTACTGGGAGAGCTTCTGAGCAAGTACAACCACACTTATTAATGATGAAAAACAGCTTCTAAATTTAAAGTACATCGAGTGGGCTCTTGTCAGATTTAGTTTGCTTCGTTGATCCACAACCTTTTGAAGCTATTTTTCCTCTCACAGGGTATGTTTTTTAGCTCTGGTCAG